GTGTAACTTATAAGACTATGTCATAAAACAATTTAATGCCTTCCCCACTTCTAGATTTCATCACTTACTTTGGTAGAAGCCAGCTGTTGTGAGGACACATCACAGAGCTTAGTGGAGGGGCTCAGGTGACTGTGATGAGGAACTCAGGCTTCCTGCCAGTGGTCATGTGAATGACCCATGTTAGAAGCAGATCCTCCAACCCAAGTCAAGCCTCCAGGTGACTGCAGGCCAGCTGACATCTTGACCGCCACCTCATGAGAGATCCTGAGCCCACTGAAAGCGCTCTCAAATTCCTGATTCATAAAAACTGTTAGGTAATAGACTAGTGGTTAACGCCACTAAATTTTTAGGTTATTAACTAAGCATCAATAGAACACTAATTTACCAATGTAGGAGACCCAATGCAAATCTCTAGCCTCCTTTGCAGATAGAATGCAGGCACTTGAATAAGTGTTTGCCAATCTGAAGCACCTGTGTGACATTTTGATCCAGAAGTGGAAAATGAGAAGATATAGGCTCTGTGTGGCGATTCCACGTTTGCTGGCTGAAGTAGTGGTTTCCCATGGTGGCAAGTTCAAGTTTCCAGGAAAGAAACGGCATCAAAAAATGCCATTTCCTTTCAGTTCTTACTGGAATATCGGCAAAATCATAAACAGAATTAACGAAACTATTTATGTGCCTTTTGGATTTTAAGGGTGACTGAAGGTTTAAGGGCACTTTGCACCTCTTTAAAAGCAAAAGAGTGAAGTAAGCCAGAAAGAGATAAACAAATATCGTATATTAACACATATATGCCCAATCTAGAAAAATGGTACAGGTGAACCTATTTGCAGGGCAGGAATAGAGACGTAGACATAGAGAACAGATGTCTGTCCATGGTGGAGGGGGAAGGGAAGGGTGGGATAAACTGGGAGATTAGGATTGATGTATATATACTACCATATGTAAAACAGATAGCTAGGGGGAACCTGCTGTTTGGCACAGGGAGCTCAGCTCGGTGCTCTGTGATGACCTAGGTGGGATGGGGGAGGGGGTGGGAGGGAGGTCCAAGAGGGAGGGGATATTTGTAGACATATACCAGATTCACTTTGTTGTACAGCAGAAACTAACACGACATTTTAAAGCAATTATACTCCAATAAAAAAATAAAAGCAAAAATAAGGTTCAGCGGACTACCCTGGCGGTCCAGCAGGTAAGACTGTGGTTCCACTGCAGCGGGCATGGGTGTGATCCGTGCTCAGGGAACTAAGATCCCACGTGCTGTGTGCGGCCAAAAAACAAAAAGTTAAGACTCAGCACTTAAAATATAGATTAAACTACCCCCACAAAGCAAAATAAAACAAAAGGCAAAGCGTGTCATATAACATGAATAGTAAAATTTGAAAATATAGCAATTATCCTAAGATAATAAATACTAATTATTACAAATTAAAATGAAATTTCTTTCTATTCAAAACTACAGTTTCTTATTATTGATAAAAATCTGCCAAAATAACTCAATATATTTTTTAACGGAAGCAGACAAAAAAGTCTTTGAACTGAGTAAATATTTACAAGATTGAGGCCACTAATAAGTGCAGTCCAAATACATGGGTTCAACCACTACAAGTTGAAAATATTTGAAAAAAAATTTCCAGAAAGTTCTAAAAAACAAAGCTTGAATTTGCCATGTGCCAGCAACTATTTATAGCATTTACATTGTATTAGGTATTATAAGTAATCTAGAGGTGATTTAAAGTATATAGGAGATGTATGTAGGTTATATGCAAATACTATACCATCTTATATAAGGAAATTGAAGATCCACGGTATCCGTGGACGTCCTGGAACCTCTCCCCCTCGTGTACTGAGGGGGGACTGTAGATGAGACATACTGTGGAAGCTTAAGTCTCCTTTTCAACTTCCTGAGTTTTCTGATGAGCTTATTAATACAAAGAAAGCATTTACTAACTTTCATGTCTTAACTTCCAGTATGACAATGTCCCAGGCACAACAGTTGTGTACTTTCCTTCTCAGATTGACCCTGGTACTCTGTGTTTATTTGGGTTTTTTTTTTTTTTTTTGTCCTTTTTGTTGTTTTTGGCCACGTCCAGCGGCTTGTGGGATCAGGGACTGAATCCGAGTCACAGCAGTGAAGGCACCGAGTCCAAACCACTGGACCACCAGGGAACTCCCTGAGCCTGGTACTTTGGAAGGAGTTCTTCAAAGTCTGGCTAGAGTCCTCATTGCTCAGAAAGTCTTTCCATCTCCATTTTCTGCACCAAACAGGTCTCCAAAAATTCTGGCTGCTGATCAGTCCAATGAGGATTATCATCCCTCTTTGCTGAAAAAGTTGAAGATCCGGCATGGAGAAAGAAGTGGCTTGAGCTATTTGGAACTGGCTGCTCCTGGAGGAACCTGAAAACCTTCTTGTCCTTCAGGCAGGAAAAGAATGGAAAGATTCTTCCATTAGGTGCAGAACTTGTGAGGGTCTCCTGCTTTGGCAGGCCATGGTTCGGGGCTGGTCACAGCTAAGGGTGCAGACAGGGCTGGAGATCGTCATCCTGGGTGTCCTCAGTGAGGAGGGTGGCAGGCCCCAGTGAGCCTGGTGATGCAGGTGTCTGGCTGTGGGAGCCTGTATCCAGCTGCTCTGAGTACCTGCCTGCAAATGAGATTCTTAAATAGTACGAGGTTGTCAATTCTGTACTTATGCCAATGTTGTTTCCAAGTTTTTCCAATTTCTCTTCAATTTACCGGCAACAGATAATGTCGCAACTTCAACGCTTCTTTTGTTTATTACGCTGGAAATTAAACATTCATGGAAAAGGACAGAGTATAAATCCAATAGGATGTACTCATCCAAATGAGACCCAAGGTTGAAATAAAATCTGAGTCTCAATCTGTGTCTTTTTAAATTCTAATAAGAGTACTTAGACATTTGACATTTCACTGTATGTTCATGCTTGGTAATGCACCAAAATACAACTAGCCTCGCCTCTCTCCATTTCCCCTTTAAGGGGCTAAGACATTAGGTTTGAATTCTTCCACATGACTTTATAGGAGTCATAGCTCATGTTTCCAGACATATGGAATAAGAGTGGCATAAGAGTGGCATAAATGTTAACACCAAGGGCTAATTCATACCATTCTCTTCCTTCTGTCACCAAAAGTGTGCTCACCACACATATATGTGACAATGTGCTTGGCAATGTGGATTCCAGGAAAGTAAAGCAGGGATGGTGACTGCCCTCCAGGGAGCACGGAAGACACACTTTAGAGGCACGATTAGGATGAGGGAAGCACCACGTGCTCAGTGCAGCTGAGGAACAGTACTCAGAGCTGATGAAGAGGAGGGAGTAGCAGAAGGCTCCACTCTGACAAAAATCTGGGGCTCCTCAATTTAAACATCAGATTTTGATTTCCTCTTCTAAAACTGAGACAACTCAAGTAGCTGTCACATAGGCAAATGTAAAGATTAAATGAAGTTTGCAAATTATAGTCTGAGAATCTGAATTTAGTGAACATAGCTGCCTTTAGCATTAATGTGACATACAGTAACTTGTAGAGTCCATGATCAGCCCCGCCAAGAGAGGCTTTGACTGCCGCTCCCTTAACACTGTCAGGGGTCTGCGTGTTGAGGCCCCAAATGCAAACTGCAGGAGAGGGGTTGCCTTCTGGACTGCGAAGGAGCAAAGCCCAAGTTTCCAGGCCTAGAGCAGTGTCTGTTACATTAAGGAGGTAAATCCTACAGCACTTGAAACATTTGCAGAGAACCAGCATCTAGGAAAAATGGCTGCTCTGTGAATAGTATAAATGAGATAAACAGCGCCTCCCCTCATCCTCGATCTCAGACCACCTCAGGTGATATTATTTTAAGACAAAGGTGTTTTTAAATGTTATGGGGACCAGGAAATGGGTTATAAAATGTAGATGGGGCAGAGGGTGACCAGAAATGGGACATTCCTATATTTTTAGCTATGGAAGGTCACAACATTACTTCGAAAGCTATTTCCTGGCTATTTGGGTAAAGAAAGGGAGGGCTTCCCTCAAGCATGCAATGTAAGAAGGCACCAAATCTAAGTGATCAAGATAAATAATACTTTAACGCAATATATAAAAATGAAAATGCCACAACATACATGCTAAAGAAATGTCAAAATTTTAAATAAAGACAGAAATGACCCTGCATTTGGATGACGCTGACAGTCTTACAGAGGAAACCTTCACGTTGCCAGTGAAATTTGGGTAATTTCTGTTTAGTCTATAAAATTCTTACCAGAGAAAATGAGAAGCTCAGACCTGGTAAATATCCTCAGCTGCTTGTACAGGACACTAATAACTCTTCTTTCTACACTACAGTCAAGCTGGAGCCCTGAGAAAGGTGTTTCAGAAACTCAAGTTAAATAAAAATTATTTAAGACTGTCACAGAGTCACAAGAAATTGTCAAACACTGCAATTCTCTCAAACAAGTAAAGAAGTAGTCTTGAAAATATTAATGAGTTTGCTTCCATTACAGCTAGGAAAGTAAAACTATATTAAATTATTGTTTTAGTATAAAGAAACTATAGTTTAAGTAGTTTAATAAATTGCTATGTTTTAATACCCACATATTTTAATATCCTACCTTCAATATTTAAATATTTTCAGAAATTATTAAAAAATCTAAAATATTTAAAACAAGCAATATAAGTTTAATTTAAAAATATAAAAAATAAAATGCTATTTTTTTTGTTTTTGTTTTTGTTTTGCGGTACGCGGGCCTCTCACTGCTGTGGCCTCTCCCGTTGAGGAGCACAGGCTCCGGACGCGCAGGCCCAGCGGCCGTGGCTCACGGGCCCAGCTGCTCCGAGGCATGTGGGATCCTCCCGGACCGGGGCACGGACCCGTGTCCCCTGCATCGGCAGGCGGACTCTCAACCCCTGCGCCACCAGGGAAGCCCCCTGTGAGTTTTTTAGTGTTCCTACTTTTCAGTTATTCAGTACTTCCTCCCCCACGTTAACGTTGTTCCTTGAAAGACACCATGAAGTCCCAGAGCATCTACAGGGGCGCTCAGCTCCCGCGTCCTCAGCCCCGGTGGTGGCCGCGCTCCGACTCACCCCCAGGGCGTCCCCAACACCGTCCCGGCGTCCCATCGCCGCCGCCGCCTTCCTCTTTCTCTGAGCCGTCGCAGCATAGCGCCAGAAAGGAGCCCGAATCTGTAAAATCGGCCCCAACTCGCTTCCCAGCTTCAAACCCCTCAGAAAACGGCCTCGCTCAAGTTTCTGTGCGAAAATAAAGCGCAAAACTCAGGGGAAAGCCCGAAAATGCAAGGTTCCAGCTTCCAACCAGACAAAATTGTCGCTGGCGCGGCCGCGACAAGGCTCCCACTTGAGAACTCAGCATCGCGAAGACAAAAGTTTTTTTCTCACTATTAAATCAGTATAAAATTGCTCCGTGAGGATGCAACTCAACTTTCTCTCGCGCTGCCCAAACCGCGGAAACTGCAAACTCTCGTAAGTCAGCGTTTCCCTAGCCGAACCGATCAAAAGACATCCGGCGCCCATTCGCCGCCGCCTAGAGAAGCGCGCTGTCCCGGGTTCCAGGGAAGGAACCTTCCCGCTAATTATTTAGTGGTGCCCGCGCGCCCCCTCGCGGCCAGCTGGTGAATCACTGAAATTCTCAACGGCCCAGATCTATTTGCTAGTGGCAGGAGTGATGCTCTGCTCCATCCCTGCTCGCCCTCTTGGCTGGAACTTGCCTTGGATCCATAGCCTACAGAACAGGGAACTCGTCATACTTTTGAGACAGATGAAGAAGATCCCGTTTCAGTCATGCCTAGAGGACAGAACAGACTTCAAATTTCCTTGGAAAAGAGGGAATATCACAGAAATCCTGACGACTCAAGGCACTGGCTACCACCGTCTGACGCTCCAGCAGATGGTAACTTCTTCAACAAGGAGGAAAGCCAAGCTGCTTTCCCCTCCCCATACACAC